TTTTAACGAAGAAAAATGATTTGAAGGATGGTTCGATAAGGAAAAATTACGAGAATTAGAAAAAAAATTATTGCAGGGTCGTCAAGAAAAAAGACAATTAGAAATCAAATTGAAAGAATTAGAAAGCAAAAATGAATAATAAAAATAGAGTAAACACAAGAAAAGTTTTGAAAATTTTATCAGTCTAGATTGGCCTGAAAAAAGAGTTATTTCTGATAGATGCTGGAAGGCTGCAGAGCGTAAAATTTAATTATGAAGCACTTATAGCCCAGTGGATAGAGCGCTTGTTTGCGGAGCAAGAGGCCGGAGGTTCGATTCCTCCTAAGTGCGCCAAATTATCATTAATTAACAAGGAGCAAATATTAAATAATAATACATATTACACAGACATATGACAGTTGCAAAAAAAAAAAAAAAAAAATAGTATTCATTAGCATTATTCTCGGAGTGGTGGTCCTGATTATCGGCAGTTTTTGGTTAGGAAGGATAACTACCCAAAGCCAATCGTCAACCTCCCAAAATAATCAATCACCCAGCGATAATTCCGAAGTCCAAGCCTTAAAATCGCAACTAAAAGAAGTCAAAAATCAACTAAAAAATTTAACCAACGAGCCTCAGAAAAATCAATTAGAGGACAAAATAACGGCACTAGAAAATAAGGTAAAAGAACTGACTAACCCGGATAAATCAACTATCCGGCAATTAGAGAAGGAAATTAAAGAAATTAAGGAGAAATTAGAAAATACGAAACCCGACGATAATCCCTCCCCTACTGATAATAATCAACTACAATTTAAAGTCTATTATTTTGGAAAAGTAGGAGAAAATCATATGTGGCCTGATGTAGACACTGAAAATAGCAACAAAATTATTCTTATTGACAAAGAAAACATCATCTTTCCTAATGATGAGTTAACGCAAAAAGGACAAAATTATACTATTACCTTTTTGCCCCAAAATGCCGAGAAATTTCACAATCAAAGTCATGTTTATTATTTTAGCAAACATAATGACAAGTTTAATTTAGCACCAGTTTTTACTCCATCTAACGAAAAAAAAGAAATCAAGGTCGAATTTTTTGGTGATTCTCTGGAAAAGGGCGGATATGGCAAATGAGCGAGTTTAGAAGAAAATTTTTTACTCTTTTTCATTAGCAAAAATCACCCACGAGTTAAAGAATTGTTAAGTCAAGGTAAATTACAAATAAATAAAAAGTTCATTATTCATTATGGAAAAGTTGACGAAGTGTCTCCAAAAGGTTCTAATTATATTTTTAATGAAAACAATCGAGAATTAGAAATTATAGAGGCCTAGGAGTTAATAAAAAATGACAGTAAGTAAATTTTATTCTATTTTAATATTCTCAACCCCGGACCCATAGCAGTAGAAAGAGTTACATTTTTCAGAAATTCTCCTTTTCAACCGGTTGGTTTTAGTTCGGTTATTTTGCTATATACCACTTTATAATTTTCAGCCAACTGCTCGGAACTAAAATTGCTGCTGCCGATTACGGCCTGCAATAATTTTTTTTCTAATTCTCGTAATTTTTCCTTATCGAACCATCCTTCAAATCATTTTTCTTCGTTAAAA